TCGGAAGAAGAAGGCAATCCTGAGGAAACAATTACATATAAATCTACTATAGTATTATTGGGGGAAAAAAGTGTGAAAATACGACTAGATGATGAACGGGAACTAATGTTGTATATTTTATGCGAGGTAAAGGGAGAAAAGAAGTTCTGGCGATTTCACCAAGAAAGTAAGGAGACATTCATGTGAAACTTTAGATAAACAGACATAATCAAAATGTCAACAAATATTATGCCTCATTTACTTTCAGTACTTCAGTAAAAAAAATAGATGAAGCAAAATGACAATGTTAATATTAAAACTAAGTGATAAGTATATAGAAGTTCATTGTTCTAGTCTTTCTTTATATTTGACAATTTTTCATTATATAAAAAGAAGAAAAAATTAGCAAATTCCAAAGTGGATCACTAAAAAGAAGTAAGCAGCATACAAGAGAAAGATTAGTCAACTCAGATAAAGAGATTTCAGAGCACTATAGATATTAGAAGTGAAAAGGCCTTTAAGATCCTACAACGCCGTCTTTTAGGCTTCGCTCCTGGTTCTGCCACTAACAATGTATGTTTGGGGTAAATCACCAAAATTCTGTAAGAGTCACATATTTTTATTCGTAAAATGAGAAGACTGGCTTAGCTGATCTCAAATATTCTGTGTCAAACTCACTCAAAGCTAGGTAAACTAGCATTCGGGCATCAATCCATGAGGTAACTAGAAGAGTGTAAAAACGTGAGTCAACCCAACTCCCCTGGCATTCAGCGTTCTTCATGCTCTGGAGCCAAGTGAACTACGGTCCTCTAGACACTCCCTCCCCCCCTCAACATACTTACACTTTTTTTACCCCAGTCATTTCTTCTGTGCCTGGAATGTCCCCCTTCCCATCTCTAACTCATGACATCCTATTGCTTTTGTAAGACCCATCTCAAATATTATCACTTTCATAACAATATCTTATTGAATTCCTTAATAAGATTTGACATTTCTGCTCAGTAAATCCTATATTGCTTCTTGAACTTGTCATGTGGAATATATCATATTTTACTTTTTATCTATTTTTGGTTATTTATTTGAAAGAGAGAAAGAGAGAGCATGGTGGGGGGGACAGAGAGGGGCAGAGGGAGAGGGTGAGAGAGAATCTTAAGCAGGCTCCACACTGTCAGCCCAGAGCCCAATGGGGGGCTCAATTTCACCACTGTGAGATCAGGACCTGAGTGGAAATCAAGAGTCGGAGACTTAACTCACTGAGTCACTCAGGTACTCCTCTATTTTTGGTCTTTTAATTATTTTTGAAAAATATTTTCCTTTCTACTAGACTATAAACTCCTGAAGAGGAGGGATTATGTCTTTTTAAATTTCATATTCTCAAAGCATTAGCACAATAACTTACACAAAAGGAAAATTAATAATATCGGATTCATTATAAAAGGTAAAAACAGATTTATGCAAAATTGTGAGTCAGCTATTTTCCTACCAAGCTCTTATTGGCATAAACTACCCTTTTTCTAAAACTATGATGAGAGAATATGATTACCAATTTTCCAAATCAACTTCTGCAGTGATAAGATTTTCCCAGAAAGCAAAAACCCCGGCAGAAGAAAATGTCACTCAGGATTTCCTTTTGTTGGAATTGTGATTATTTGGCATGTTTTGTGCTACTTAAAGGTTAAAGTTGGGATTATTGCCTCTACTGCAGGTTCTCAATTCAGGCAGCAAATACACAAGAGACAATGGCAGAATGGAAGGCAATGCTCTAAGTATCTGGGTAATGATTTGTTATCTCTGATGGATTCTGGTAATTCCTTAAGTGGAGGGCATGATTTATGCTTGGAGTAGCTGAACTCCACTAAGGTCCGCTGTCCGCAGAAAGCTAAAGAATGAGTAATTGAGCACTGCTAACCTGGTGGTGTAGAGTGATTCTGGTTATTAGTAAAATGCGGTCCAATGAATGTCTGCGGCTCTGAAGTTACTTTAGCAATTCCTTCTGTTTTGGTTTTGTGTATGTGTGGATGGCCTGGTGGAGGTGAAGAAAGGTACTGACAAGGGTTGTCTCAGCATGGGAAGAGGTATACGATCCCTCTCCTCCTCAATACAATTTAAATATTTTGGATGACTTATTTCAAGTCATTTTTATTTGTTTAGTGAAATTATATCTGTCATTATTTTACAGGAAAATATGTATGCAATGATATATAGTTATTCTTGATTATCCTTTTATTTCATTGCAAGTTAATGCAGAATATACCTACACAGTGTAATTCTGAAGTGGTAATTAGGAATGCATACAGGTAGGGGCACCTGGGTGGCTCAGTTGGTTAAGCGCCTGACTTTGCTCAGGTCATGATCTCACAGTTCGTGGATTCCAGCCCCCGTCGGGCTCTGTGCTGACAGCTTGGAACCTGGAGCCTGCTTCGGATTCTGTCTCCCTCCCTCTCTGCCCCTCGTCTGCTCACACTATGTCTCTCTCTCTCAAAAATAAACATTAAAAAAAATGTCTTAAGAAAGGAATGCATGCAGGTATTTTCAAATTAGAGTTTAATTTTGTAATGCGTGACTCTTGGAAGCTTTGGGAAAGATTTTAGAGATTTTGTCTATTTTGATGGGATTTATATATCATAATTGAATAAATTCTGTTCGGATTTCTTTCTATTTTTTCATCTTAAAGACATTAATGCAGGGCTTACAAGCTCCTAAATCCATTGCTTTTCTTTCTTTTTTTTTTTCTAAGTAGGCTTCACACCCAGCTTGTAGCCCAACATGGGGCTTGAACTCACCACCCTGAGATCAAGAACTGGGTTAAGATCAAGTCCGATATTTAACCAAATGAGCCACTCAGGTGCCCCTACTTGCTTTTCAAGTGAACAAAAAATGACATCTCTCTTGGCTAGTGGAAATGGTAAATTAGTTTTCTCTCTTTCTTTCTTTTTTAATGTTTATTTATTTATTGTTGAAAGAGAACAGGGGAGGGGCAGAGAGAGAGGGAGAGAGGATCCCAAGCAGGTTCTGTGCTGTCAGTGCAAAGCCCAACGCAAGGCTTGAACTCACGAACTGGGAGATCATGACCTGAGCAGAAATCAAGAGTCGGATGCTTAACTGAGCCATCCAAGTGCCCCGGTAAATTAATTTTCTATTGTGCTTTGTTTGATTAGTCTAGAATCTAATATTCTGTCAGAAGCTATAACCAAAAATAGGAGAAACACACATCCCAGTGACTCCCTCTCTTTCTTATTAGTGAAATTGTTTTATGTATTTCAGTACTCTCTGTAGGAGGAAAAGCAATAATTGTATAACACCAAATTAGCATATGTTCACAAATGTTACAGATACTAAAGTTTGTATATTTTCTCATAGCATCAATAAGTTTTTTACTATCTGAATAACCTTTCTTTCATTCATTCATTTAATAAAAATAAATTAAGGGGCTTAATGGGACCAGGGTTCTTCTAGATACTAGAAATACGATGAAACACAGAGCATGACTTCTGCTCTGTGGAGCTTACAATCCAGCTAAGAAACAGAAAAAGTCATTACAAGTGCTTTGAAGAAAGTACAGGGTGCATTAGGAGCAAAAGGTCAATTACCCAGGCTGTGGTTCATTCTGATTTCTTGATTTTTCTTACATTTAAAAATTGAACAGAGAAAGTGAAGATACAGGAAAGTGAAGAAAGAAAGCTATAGTAAATGATGGTATTCATGCATACATATCTTTCAGAAAAAACATTAGTCAAATAATTGAGGTCCATTCTCTCAGTCTACCTCCCTGGAAGGGAGTGGTATTCATGATGCCCCCCACCTCTCACTATGCCCACCTTATACCCAAACCCTTAGAGTAGGGATTGGTACGGAAGGAATGACAACGTGGAAATGGAATCCACTGGGTTTTTCACCTTTCAAAGGAATAAAACCCGGTTAGTGAACTCCTGAGTGGAAAATCAGAGGGAATAGCAGGGTAAGAAAGCCATGGCCTTGTGAGGAGCAGAGTTCAGGGTCTAATTCTTGTTGCCTTATCAGTCGCTGATTATACCTGCAGGGAGAGCTGATTATATCAACTGAGTACAGCGCTGGGGAACTGGAGTGCCTTGGCTACTTTACATTGACCTGGAAAATGTCAGGGTAAATTACAGAAGGGGAGCGGAGAGTAGGTAATCGTCCTTTTAGGAGTCTCAACGCTTTGTGGATATTAAGTTGTCACCAATTCACTAAGGATGGCTTGTGGATGGGGTGAGGGCTGAGGGAAAGATTCAAGGATTAAGGTCTTAAAACGAGACAGGCATCTGCACACGCCGCAGTTTAAAAGATGTTAATGGTCCAGGCCGTTGTGGGAAATGATCTCAGACCAGCTGTAACCTTCCCCAAAGCCGCACTGTTTTTTTCTTTTTAATTAGGATAGGTAGCATCTCCTTTAGAAGACAGAATCCTGCTCTGCGGCTAACCCTTCCAGTTGGCGGGCGGAGGCCAGCAGGCGTGTGTGCGGCCGCCCCCAGCGCCGCGGCCCCGGCTGGCGGGCCTGAATCCTGCGCGCGCCAAGCGCTCCCTCGGAGTCCACGGGGCGCGCGCGCGCGCACGGCCGAAGCGCGCGCTCCTGCACCTCGCGAGCGCGCTCCCCCCTCCTTCCCTTCCCGCCCCACGCGCAGGTCTTCGGCGCCCCCGCCCTCCCCGCGCTCCCACAGCCAGAGCGCCGCTCAGCTGACCGGCGGGCGCCAGACGCCTCGGCTTCCAGTTCGCAAGCGCAGCTACGGCGGCGCGAGCCTCTCACGCCGACACTCCCCCTGCGCGCCCCTCCCCCACCCTGGACCGGCTTCGGGACCGACTGAGCGCGAGCTCGCGGCCGCTTCTCGGGCGCCGAGCGTGGAGCTAGGCTGCGGTGACTAGCGGCGGCTGCGCGGCCATGGGCGCGCCGGTGTCGCCCTAGGACAGGCGCGCGGAGACCGCAGCCTAGGCAGCGAGCCTTCCCGAGCGGCGGCGGCGGCGGCGGCGGCAGCAGCGGTAGCGGCAGGAGCAGCTCGGCCGGGATGAGCGGCGCGGCGCCCGGCCCCGGCTCGGGCTCCTCCCCGGCCGCCTGCCGCTTCGCGCACTACTTCGTGCTCTGCGGGATCGACGCAGACAGTGGGCTGGAGCCCGACGAGCTGGCGGGTAAGGCCGGGCTGCGGCGGCGCGGGGGTCCCCTCAGGGACGCGAGGGACGCTGCGGGGACGCGCGGGAGGCGGGTTCTAGACAAAGTCGGCTCCCGGCGGCGCCCGCTCTCCATCCGGACTGGCGCTCGGGCGGCGATTTAATGACATTGTTATTTATTCCGCGTGCAGGGTGCGCTGCTGAGCCCGCGGGCGTCCTGCTGCTGAGGGCGCTCGCCTAGGGCTTTCGCCTCCCAGGCACGGGGTTATTAATAACGGGGGCGGGGGCGGCCCCTAGGGCACTGCCCCCACCCCGCACTCAGGCCCCCTCGCCCGCAGCTGCTCGCGGAGGCGGCGGGTGAGTCACCGGGCGCACTAACTCCCCGGCCTTGCTGCGATCCCGTGCATCCTACCTCCCTCCGCCTGGCTGCGAAGTTTCAGCCCTGGCACGTGACGCGGCGCTCAGACCCCTTCGGGGGAGGCGGCGACAGAGACCGCTGGGCGGCGGGCGTCGCGTCCACTGAGGCGGTGATGGCCCGCTGGGCGAGTGCAGGCAGGAGGCTGGTTGGACTTAACATCTTTGACTGTGCCGGGTCTGCGCCGCTTCCCGCCTCGCATTCTGCGATGACGGTCGACTCACCTTTTGGAATCCTGTCTATTTGGCAGTGTCACGGGAGCTGGCGAGGACCTTTGGACGCTCGGGACTCGGCACGACGCTTTGTTGACACTGCCTACGCTGTTTCTGAGTTTAGTAGTTGGACATTCTCCCCTCAGTTGGGTGCACCGTGTGTTACTGCCTGGCTTTTCTTGGAGGAGCACCGTTTCCTTCTTTTTACTCATTTGATGGCGCAGTGCAGGGCTGAGCTGGGAACCGATGCTGGGAAAGGGGCCGTTAAAGGATGACTGCGTTGAGGGGGGGCGGGAGGGATGAGTGCGCAGTGTTGAGAGGAGGCCGTGGAGGAGTGACCGATTTCATTTTTCACGCTCCTTTATGCTTGCCTTCTTGGGATCTAAATCTTGGTTTTTTGTTGTTGTTGTTGTTGCTAATGGGTGAGACAAGTGACATCTATCGCCTGAACTTTATCTGTGTCAGTGTCAAACACTTAGCTCATAGCCTTTCAGAACAGCTTGCTTTGGACATAGCATGCCTTATTGATTGCACTAATGTGTATTTTTGTTTTCTCTTTTACTTTTTTGGGAGTAGGAGAGGGGATTCAGAACAATGTATTAAATAATAAACTAGACAAAAGTGTTCAGCTGTAAGGTCCACTACTGATCAACTCGTGTCTTAGCTAAGACAGTATCTTTTAAAGCCAGGCTCACAACAAAACATTTTCAACAAAAACTCTGTCTAGTTTTAGTTAAAGATTTTTTGGAAAAGAGGGATGAGTACCAGGTTTTTCTGTATGTGTAATTATATAGTCATGTTGTTTATTCAATTAAAATTTCATGTACATATTAAGAACGGCTTTGTTAAGTGATAATGAAGTTAGAAAACATGCCTGCAGAGAGATTTGGAGAGATTCCTCTTTTGGGATTGAAGGGATTATTTTATTTTTCTAGAATCTTTTCTTCCCTAAACTTCGTAATCATTTGTGGTACTGGATCACTTGGAGGCCTTTTGTCAGTAGGGATGATGAAAGGAAAAAGCCTGTATTTTTTCCTTATCTGTTTCCAATCTATATGCCTAGTAAAGCTAAAACACCTGTAGATGGGGCCTGGGACTCTTCAGGCACAGTGCAGATGGCTTTAATAAAATTAAGTAGTAAAAAATTAATTTTTAATTCATTTTTTAGACACCAACTGGCTTCTCATTTTGCAGTATTATTCATGAGTGTGGATGATTGAGATTTCGCTCCTCATAATATTTGGTGTTTTGAAGTACTAATCACTTCTGCCTGATAATATTTCAGTACAATGATTCATTCACCAAATAGTTTTGAAAGCCTTAAGGTGTGGATTGTGTTATAGGCACTGGGGACAGCTATGAACAAAGCAGTCAAAAATCCCTGCCGTCATAGTGCTTACATTCTAGTGTAAACAAAGAATGAAAATACAGAGTGCCAGATGTCAGTGAGTGCTATGAGGAAAAATACAGCAGGGAAGTGAGACTAGGGTAGTGCCAGCACAATGGTGGGATGGTGGGGTTGCAGACTTTAAATAAGATGGTTAGGGAAGGCCTCAGAAAAGGTGATCTTAGAACAGAGCCATGAGGGAGATGAGGAAGCAAGCCATGAGGATTGTCTTGGGGAACAGCATTGCAGACAGTACATGCAAAGATGAGGTGGGAGAGTGCCTAGTTTGTGCAGGTAACTGTAGGGACACCAGGGTGGTTGGAGCTAAGTGGGGAGGAAGGTAGTAGATATGATCATAGAGAAAGGGTAGGGAGATTGTGTAGGGTCTAACAGACAATTGTTGAGCTTTTACTCTGAGATGGAAAACTACCAGGAGGTTTTGAGCAGTGGAAAGATAAGATTGGAAAGATTTGATGCACTCTTCTGAAAGGATTGCAATGGCTCTCTTGTTGATTAGACTATGTCAAGGGCAAGGTTAGAAGCAGACCAGTTAGGAGGCTCTTTTTCATTATTTGAGATGGGAGGTGTTGGTGGCTTGGATCAAAGCAGTAGCAGTGAAGTGGTAAGAAAGTGGATATATTTTGGAGGTAGAGCCAGCAGGACTTGCTGATGAATTGGATATGGTATTCATAGTCAAAGAAAGAGATCAAAGATGATTCTAAGATTTTTGGCCTAAACAATTTTAAACATCTCTATTTACTGAAATAGAAAGATGGATGGAGAAGCAGGCTGGAGATTAGCTCAGTTTTGGACGTGTTAAGTTTGAGGTACCCGTTAGACATTCAAATGGAGATGTCAGGTAGGCAAGGCATCTCTCCGGCAGTCAAAATTTATATATAGACATGAACTGAAAGCCATGAAATTGGATGACCCAAGGAGTGAGTATAGATAGAAAAGAGAAGAGGCTCAAGGACTGAATCCTGGAGATACTCCAACATTCAGAGGTGAGGAGGATGAAGAGGAAACAACCAAAAAGTGCGGCCAGTAAGATGAGAGGTAAACAAGAGAATGTAGTATCATGTTCTCAACTAACAATCTTCTTGACTGTTTCCACAGAGCTACATTTGAGGATGAGGAAACAAGGCCAGTGAGTTAGGCAAATTAGTCAGGAGGTTATTTTCTGTTTTGCTGCATTAATTTCAAAGTTAAAGATAGTTAAGTTTCTATTTTACTTTTATGGAACTGATCTATTTTTATCACACTGTTTCTTAGCAAGTTGTCACCCTGCCTGTAGAAGGTCTAAGTTGACTTCTATTAAACATAAATTTTACTCATTGCTTTACAGATTTTTTTTCTTAACATATACATGTCCCTAGGATTCATGCTTTGCAGGTGGTGGGGCATTGAAATAAAATTAAGAACACAAATCATATGATGAAGTAATAGATAGACTAAGACCTTATGATAAAGTTATCAGGGCTTTAGATAGATTTTTAGACACTCCTCCCAGTAAAGGTTAGCTTTACCGACAGTGGGAAAGATTTCTCATATATATATAT